GGCCGGCTCGTAAGGCTGACCTCACCGCCACCGTTGAGCCGATTGTCTGGAAAACGTGAGAGCTTCGACGTCTCACAAGCTCATGAGCCTCCAAGATCTGTTATAGGGATAGCTTTTCCCTTTTCTTTCACCTTCAACAGTTTTGCATCATGCTGCCATCTGTTATAGGATTCCATCAATCATGAGGGTGGTTGACGGCTTGTTGCGCTGACAGAGAGAGACAGTTATAAGATTGCGATGGTGTGAGACCTTGCTCTTGAATTTGTCGTAACGTATAGATACACACACCAGCCGTGCTTTCTGCGACTTCGCAAACACTGCGCAAAATTTCTTCATCCCCAAATATTCGCTACAAATAATAAAATTACTTAACTAATTAAAATCGTCACTATTATTAGAAACATTCAAGGAGGATGAGACAGACTGGGAATAGAGTAGGGAGGAAAGATCATACTGAAGTTAAATAGGAAACTTGAAAGAAATGAACCACTAAGAAGAACTATTCATATATGGAAGAATGATATATTCAAATGGATCTTGAATTAACAGGACGTGGGATTTTGGACTGGATGAATCGGGCTCAGGAAAGGGATCGGTCGTGGACGCTTGTGAACACGATAATGAGCCTTCGGCTTCAAAAAAAAAAAAAAAAGAAACAAAGACGCTGGAACCTTTTTGAGTACTAGAGCGAGTATTGGGGGTTTGAAGAAGGACTCATCTCCGTTCACTTAGATAGTTATTGTCACGTGAGGGAGTGACTCTCGACGGAGTTTTGAATTAGAGGTTGTATTTATTGACCGCTTCAGCACACTAATCGTGACTACAGTTAACTGTAGCGCCATCGCTGACCTTCACACTTTACAAATTACTACAGCAGTCTGCAGTGTCTTCACTAGTCGTTTCCCGGGCACGGTTTCTAACAGTGCAGATTCTTCGGCTTCCGCAGTCACCACACTTCCGGCTGGTCGCCTTCTCACAACTCAACTAAGCGCTAAGCTTGTCCCATTGGTAAAATCTTCTATTGCTGTGGTTCAACTTTTCAACTTTACCGCACCGTTACGTAGCCACGACCGTGGCGGGACCACAAAAAACGCCCCTTCCAACATTTCCTCTATTGTTGTACTCCAGTCGTTTCCGAGGGAATCTGTTTGTGAAGGCATCACCCAGCAACGGTCACGCAACGGTCTACAAGAATCCAGTCCGCACCTCACAGGAAACATATTACGTCACCGCCATAAAACCCAACAGGTTAATGCTGTTCGAGGAAATAATCCGTGCTTTTTATGAGAATCACACAGAACACACGGATACACTGTGTGGCCAGAATGCAATGTTTTATTGTGTTAAAGAGTGTGGTACATACAGTGACCACTGGGCTTCAATGAATTTACCACAAGCTAAGGAAAGGGGAGCAGATGTTGGGGGGGGGGGTTGCAAAATTAGGAACATTATCCTTACATATCCGTTCCTATTTACACTCTTGTTTCATGCTAAAAACATTATTTTTAACTTGGATCTGAATTCCAGAACCCTGAAGTTTGAGACACGAGCTTCGTTCGAAACGTTGGTACCTGTCTAGCAAAAACTGCACGGCGTCAGATCCCAGAAGAATATAATGTTAATTTCTTGAATGTTAAGACATCTGTGTACTTCCATAAGCTTATAACCAAGTCTTGCACAAAAGCCCCCGAGACATAACAAAGCGAACGTGAGAAAAATGTGTATGATAAGGAAAGCATTGTGCGATACCATGGCCCGAGTTCCCAGATGCAACAGACAAGCGTCCTGTACCGAAGGGCCGTTCTTTTACCCCATGCACCTACTATAAGCTGGATCAAGGGGGGGGGGGATTTTAAATGGCCCAACCCCACTTTTATACTTGTTCCATTCTTGTCTTGACGTTATTTGCAACCCATACAGTTATACTTGCTCTAGTTCCGGACCAGTTCAGAAACTCCCCCCGTCTTTAACCCACCCCACACCCCATTCTCTCCCCTATCTCCTTACCCTCACTTATTTTCCTTGTGAAATCATCCCTCTTTCTTCATTCTATAACGTCGTTTTCATTATATTCCCTTCTGAGCGGAAGAGTGTTACTGGCACTGCGCATTGCGGAGGCCAGGTGTAAGTTGTTTGGTGCATCCATCGATGTGGATATTTATCCGAGACATTTTATGGCTTATAACCTCATTGGCACGCTCTGCAGGCCACAATTCCTAGATATAATCTTAAATCCAGGCCGCGCAATTGTAAGTTTGGGTGATCCAAGCTTGGAGACTTGTACGCTGGTATAGAACACAAACTAAGCATCGCGGACGGATGCTAAAATCACTAAGCCATGAAGACGTATGGGAAAATAGAAGTATAGCTCCACGCAGTATCTGAACACCAGCAATAGATGGTGGTGGTCAACTTCACGGTCTGGCCGTTTTGCGTCGGAGGAAAGGCGCCACACTGTACGGGGGAATATGAAGTTGGGTGAGCCCCAGAAACTGTGTGGATTCTGAGGAGGGGAAGAGAGTTTCTCGCCCCTGTGGGGAATAGAGATCCTGTCCTCCAGTTTTTAGCATAGTCACTGTGCTGTGAAATTCTCAGGCTTATGTAACTCTGTAAAAGCTAAAGCTATCCCTGTAACATGCCTTGGAGCCTCATAGGGTTGTCAGACGTCTATGCTCTCATATTTTCTAGACAATCGGCTCACAGATGACGGTGAGGCTGTCAGCCTCACGCGCCTGCCGCCCTTTACCCTCCAGAAAGACTTCTGGTACTCATTTATGTTAGAGGCTGAGTCGACTCCAGGGTCATATTGCGGCTGGAAGGATTAGGTCAATTTAAAAATCCGGTGATCTCATCGGGAATCTAAACCGCGACCTTCCGGGGTGATGAGATTTATATGAATTGTACAAATGCGTTCTGTGCGCAAATTGCACAGTTTCTTAATATTAAACTGGGTGGTACGTGTGCTTACCACTGTGGTTTGAAGGGTTAACAGGAGGCCAATTACTGTAGATCGCATCTGTAAAATTATTGTGATGCTGATGATGACAAAGGAGATATTGCCTTGTGAGGGTGAGGTGGATAATGATGCGCCATTAAACAACATTCACATTCCGCAACCTGTCACTCACCACTCTTAAGAGAGCATTGATGAGCAGGTTCACTCAGCGGTGTCCTTACCAGCCAATGCTGAAACCGATATAGACGCACACTCGTATTCAAAGTAGCCTTAACGATGTCACAGTGTTTGAGCACATCGCAATGACGATTTGTGAAAGTAGCATAAAGTTCCGGCCACTTTAACTCAGTACAGTTGCACACAGCCCCACACTCGGTCTGGACGATGTGACGAAAAGAGAAAACTGTCTTGCCTTTGCCGGGAATCGAACTGCGGTTCCTAATTCATTGAGCCAGTATCCTAGTCACTGTATTGACTGAGCTATCCCAATCATAACACAGCATTAAGTTTAGCGACGGGCTGGACGGCCGAGGTTCAATTCCCGGCAGGTGAAACAGATTTCTCTCTTCTCCACGTCGTCCACACCGGCTCCGGGGTCCATCCAGCCTTATTTCCAATGGGTACGNCTCGTGGTTCAGAACATGGCCCGGAACCCGGCCACATTGACACATTTCTTTTAGGTCTCCCTGTAGTTAAACGACTAGTTAATACGTCAAGTTAGGCCACGACCGCTTCCCATCAGAGTCAGAGACTTAACATCGCCCTTGAATAAGCCACAAACACCTAACTAAACTGAGACAGCTATGCTGCTGGTCTCGTGGAAGGGCCTCCACTTGTCAGTGCGTTAAGTACGCTGTATTACCGACAGAGTCAATGTCGTGTAACGAACTCAGCCACTGTGGAACATGGCATTGAAGAATTTGAATTGGGCACGGTGACGTATGGACACATGCGCAATGCCGTTACAGGAAACCTGTTCTGCCTCTCTGTTTTGGCAAGTATTTACACAGCGGCCTTCTGGGATCCAGGGGTGAATCGAAGAGCCTAGTGACAGGCCTGCCACTATTTCTCAATCGGCAAGGAAGGTAATTTTTGTTTTAAGGAGCGATGTCTCACACTGTCTGCGCCAGAATCCCCTTCTCTCACTTTTAGAGGAAAGTAAGAAATTCAACATTCAAAATAATATTCAGGAATTTAAATCCTACATCGCAGAAAACACTATATATCTTCCTTGATATAACTCCGTGTAGTCCCTTGAAATTCCACCTATTTTTTTCCCGAAGGAAGTTTTCGCCTCCCATCATCAGGTTCGAAGAATAATCCAAGGAACCGAGCCGTTGCCTAGCAATTATATGGGGGATTTTTAAAGACACGTTGCCTAGCAGCGACAAGGGGTCACATAGACTGATGGAAGGGATTTATGAAGTGGGCCGTTGAGAAGGGCTCAGCTGTCATGGTATACATATCAAATTTCATACAGACTGGTTCAGGCATTCACAAATTGTTAAAGGAGAGATACACATATATACAGACAGCATTGTGATCGCATAAGCCTATTTTTAATTCTTTTTAAAAACAAGGCAAGTAGGCTAACAATCGGAAAAAGTAAATGTATTCTGGTGTTTAATTAATTAAACGCTATTCCATGAATAATTGCGATGAAGTGGAGGTACAGCTCCACCATTCTTGATCTCGGCACAGAATGGAGGTAAGTGGGTCAGCTTCACTTCCCGGCCGCTTTACCCCAGGGAAAGAGTCCCCTGTGCCCCATTGGATAGGATGTTAGGTGGGACCCAGAGTCGGTCTAGATGCTGTGAAGAAAATAATAGAAATATTCCTAGACAGTGTGACCCACAGCTTAGTCACTATAGCGACTGAGCTATCCCGGATCTAGTGTTATTGCACAGTTACTAGTCGAAATTCAAAATATTCCTTCACACGTTACTAACGGTAAACATAACCAACACTTTGAAAATCTCTTCTTGACAAAATGAAGCTATGCCCTCCTAAGAAGAATTATGACTGTCATTAGTTAGTGACTTACAGTTTGTGCACCCGACGACAATCCAGCAAATCAGCAGCTCCTGACAACACACTCCATATCGCTGTAACGCGCGGAGATCACTTTCTCTGCTTCGGACTTGTCTGCTGGCCTACCTGCCAATGGTTGCCCGTGCCCTTGAAGCAAACACCGTCGGCGCAGTCGGGGCACAGAAGGTTGCAGGGAGGGGGAACGAACCGGTGCGGCTCCTAGACAGAGATAGATAATCGGGTTTTTGTCCAATCGAGACCTAGCCATAACGCATAGACAATACAGCAAGTTGTGCCTAGGGACTTCTTCAGGGAGAATCAGAAACCTTTCGACGTAATTCTATTGTTTGCTTAATCTATGAAAGACGCCCGACTTAACCCTTCCTAAATAGAACAGTAACAAAAAATTAATATAAACTGGCGAAAGTACCAGTTCTTCGTCCGGGACGTGGTTGCTGTTATTGTCAGATCACACAAATTAAATACGGTAAGAAAAAACTTTGCCGGTCACGGTAGCCGAGCGGTCTAAGGCATGCACTGTCTTCGCTCGCTCGGAAACCGAGATCATGGCTTCGAATCCCACTCAGGGCATGGATGTTTGTGTGCGTTTTTCTGTGTTTGTCTACCGGTAGAGGCCTTGCGACGAACTGATCACTCGCCCAAGGAGTGTAAGATCTAGTAAACCGAAGTGAAACGGAGAGTTTCATGGAGGTAGGCCTAGGCCCAAATTGGGGCTGTAGCGCCACAGGAAAAGAAAGAGAAAACTTTGGGCAGAGAACAGAGAAATTTAATTTAGTCGTGTAATTATACTGTCACGTGTTTCATTGAATAAGACGCGGGTTTGGATTGGCGAATCGGTTTATCGGATCATCACTAGTCGTAAATACAATTAGTTCTTACACTCTCGAGATTACTGTAACTATAGCACATGTGACGTCACACACTAAGTCTTATGATTCTGCTTCTGGCCACACTGCTGTTCCCTTGGAACTTCGGAACTGAAGTGAAGTCAACTCCCATTCCGGTATTATCTCATATCCCCTCGGCATGGACCACGCATAGAAAACACAGTTCTACTGTTGTGTAGAGCAAACCACACAGAAAACGAGACATGTGATAACTATCTCGCCAGCTCATTGGTGCGTTGACTGTTGCCTAGCAACGAGCTATAAACAGTCATCCCATTGTTGCGTTACCTTAAGCGATAAGATGTCTATCCCGCCGTTACCTAGCTATGTACTTTATATTATTGAGGAAATTGGGCAACAGGATTCGAATCGCATTCAAAACACTATAAGCAATGCTTGAATATCGCTTTAGATGCCGTCCATACCGTGCAGAGTGGTAATATTATACAATTAGTTTCATAATATCTTCGAATGTTCTCTATTAGTTTCGGGAGAGAAAACGAGGAAAAGAATCGGATTCTTTTGAGCTCTTAAACTTTGATACGGCGCCTGACTACACTTTACATGTCACTGTTACACGCACACTAGCGTCCCCTCTCATGTCTTTACTAGCCGTTGTTTGGTGGTGGCTTCCAATGGCGGATGTTCCCCCTTCCTCTGGGTTCCCGAACAGTCACCGGTCTCAGCTAACAGCTTCTAACAGCAACAGCTCACTGTCAACCAACGTTTCGGAAGACACTGATCCTCCATCTTCAGAGTTGAAGGTTGCAAAGAATTGCTTATATTCGCGACCCTGAAGTTATAGGAGATATATTCCTCCGAAACGTCGCTTAACTCATCAGAGTGCACAGCATTATATAACACAGAGCTCTCCATTAACACTGTAAGTACGAAGGTGACCTAACATGACGGAAGCCGCAGAAGCGCATGTGAGAGCCAGTCACGGCTGCGCGCTTGTGTTTCCGTAATGGCTGAAGATATTTGTGAAGTGCACACTGAAGCCGAAACACTTTGGGTAACGATGTGTTAGTTCGAGCAGCTTGACTAAGCGGTACAGCTCCCTACTCATTATTCGGGAGGTTCTTTGTTCGAATCTTGACTCGAACACAGGATACCCTGAATAAGGCTTTCGGTGGGTGTCTTCAGTCACTACAGGATAATTCTGGGATACTGTACCGCGATGAGGTCAAGAGCGCTTGCTTCCAATTAGCGAGTCGTCCTGCCACTGCAGTCCACGTGCCCATCTGCGTTGCTTCGAAACTGCTGGACGGCGCTTCCGTACGGCCACGCGAAACATCTTAAGCCCTCTCAAATCCTGGGATCGTGGCTTCGAATCCCACTTGAGACATGCATGTCTGCCCGCTTTTCTTCTGTGTTCGTTTTGTCTTTTGCCGGTAGCAGCCTTGCGACGTGGCTGATCCCCCTACCAAAGAGTCCTACTGACTGTCTATGAGGTTCATAATTACAGATTAATTCTAATGGGAACAGGCCAGAGCGTAATCGAGCGATATACAATAAGAAGATTGGATAATAATGAAAATGGAGTGGGGATTATGTGGAGTAAAAAGTTGGCCTAATTTGGGGCACTCTTTCCGAATTTGGGTGAATGGACAGAGGGAAACCACGAGAAACCTCAGTAAGGGTTATCGGTGTGTCGGCCGAGATTCGAATCGGGCCAGCGTTACCGACTGAACCAGCGTGCTCAGTATACTCAGCCTTGATTAAAGCTTTGTTCCAGGTCTGGCCATATTGTAGCGTGGATTGCTATGCAGTGACTGCGAGATGGGCAAATATGCCGGAGCAGTTCCTATGGAATGGCTTGGTAAACACGTTCCCGCTGCAACGGATACGCATGCAACAATAGAGGTAGTGTTGGAAATTGGAATGGAGTCACCGTTCAGAGAGGAGTTGAGCACAGAAGCAGAGGAATAACCATTGTTAGAAGACATTACCAGGAAACTATATACACGTGACAATATTATATAGCTAATACCCTGGTTTATGAATGTATTCAGGCCATATATTGTAAAAGAAGTATGAAGTAAGTTTAAATTTGTAAGTACTGACAATAGACTAACCGATACAGGCTATGACTGATAAATGACAGACCAGACCTCTCATCAGAGAGGGCGCCCCAAATGGACAGGACAGTAACTTTCATATAAAGAAAAAAGCATCTTGTCATGAGTTCCAGCTGGGGCTCGACATCAAGACAGACAGACGGACCGACCGTCAGTGGTAATATGACTTTGACTTTGACTTGATGAATGTATTCAAAATGTAGATATTAGTCCACCTGCCAGACATGTCTGTTAGAGTTCCTTCATATTCAGTGTCTACCTGTTTATTTCTTACACAGATGTAAAAATACATTAATATTATGAAATACTCGTAAAATATACTTCAAGTTAAGGTCTTCTGTATTGTGACACAGTACAATCCTTGTGGGTGGATTCCGACGTTTCGGAACGTTTCGCAGCCTATATCTTCAGGGTTAATATGTGTCGGTTTCCCATAATTCTTATCCTCTTCGAATTGTAAGTGTCTTCAATAGAGTCATTACACCTTTACAATGTTCACGTAAGCGAACTCCCTCTGTGTCACGCAGCGCGAATTCATTTACTTGTTATTTGCTTAACGAGCCTCTAAACCCATAGCAAATAACATCAAACATTGGATGACAGTGAACTGGAAAGGATTTGGAATGAAGTGGCTGTCACATAATTTAAGTTACTGTTTCGTTACTGAAGGAAACCTCGGTCAGGTTAGTCGATGTTCCTGCCGAAATTCGAACCGGGTCCCTCTGGAGTCAGACTGTGACATAGCTCAGGCAGTTAGTAGCCGGCTTCCCACCGCAGCGGCTCGGGTTCGATCCCATGTCAGGTCATGTGAGATTTTTAAGTGGCACTGGGGAAGGTTTGCCCCGAGTAATTTCGTTTCCCCTGCCAATTCTCATCCCACCGACTGCTCCATACTCATATATCAATTATCATCTGGGGCTGGTACAGTTGACCAGTTAGTAGCCAAAGTACCAAGTGGACTCATTCTCAACCCATCCCAAGAAATTAAAACTAAACTATCTCTTGAGCCAACGTAAGGCACTAATCCTAAGACTTTCCAAGTGTAGACTGAAGAAAACCATGAGAAACCTGAGTCCGAATAGTCGGTACCACTACCAAGATTCGAAATGGGCACCCCCCGGAGTCGAAATAAAGGCACTATCCTAAGAATATTCCTGGAGAGACTGAAGACAACTATGAAAAAAAGACAGGATAATGTGTCCTGGCTAAGATTCGACATGCGTCTCAACAAATACCGGTTTAGCATCCAAGAAATAAAAATCTTAGAGACAATGTAGACGTTGTTACGATATGCATAGATTTCCTAACTGTTTCTTATACATGGACACCAAGAGGGGATACATGTGCGCCCATGGATTCCTATTTCATAAAGGCAGGATCCCCCTCCCCCCACTTCCCAGTAATACTGAATACGGTCTACAACGGTGGGGTCCTAACCAGGTGACGCAAGGAAACGGTTATCTGCACCTTCAGATGGCCTTTGGTGAATTGTATGCGGCCGGGAGCAGCAGCACAAGGTGCGCGCGCACGCGTGGAAGTTTGTCGAGCACAAATCAAGTCATTGTTGTACCTGAAGGAGGGACAACTTTAAGGCAATCAGTTCTGGCATCTGCTGATATCACAAAGAAGCGTGTCCCTTGTCCTGCCATGAGCACATGACGGAAAAGCAAAGGGCGCTCACTTTCCCTTGCTCTTCCAAGTTGCGGCCCCGCGGTAGCGCAGTTGGTTGAGGCACTATGCTACAACGCGGAAGGTCGCGGGTTACATTCCCGATGAGGTCATTATAATCCTTCGCCGCACTACGTCCCTGGGGTCGACTCAGCCTCTAACAGAAATGAGCAACAGGAATTTTCCTGGGGGTGGGAGGGTAAAGGGCGGCCGGGGAGTAAGGCTGACAACCTTACTGCCAACTGTGAGCTGAATGTCTAGAAAATATGGGAACCTCGACGTCTCAACCCTCCACGGTATGTTACAGGGAAAGCTTTACCTTATTTTACCGTGAAGGCGTATTGGGTAGTGGAGTTAGAGAACAATGACTCATTAGATTTGGCACTAGACGAAGCCCCGAGGAAGTGGTAACCTTTCTATATGAATTTGCCTAGGCCCCAGAGCCAGTCTACACATTGCGGAGAAGAAAAATTTTGCTCC